CCCCCCCAGGTCTTGTGGAGGCCTAACAACCAGCCCATCTCGCAATAGATGAACCCACTATCCAGACCACTACACGACGCCCTGCAAAACTTTGCCAAAATTAGAATTTTGTATATAATGGCCTCCATAGACAGGATTGACCGTCTATACAAGCCACATCTTCCTGCTCTTTAATTAAGCATTGGTAAACGAATGTAAGACCTATAAGCTCCTGACTTCCATCTACCCCATTTTTTAATAGTGTCATCTGGGATAACCTGCCCTGCCGCTTCCGTGGCTGCCCCTATTAGAAAACTATGAAAACGATAGTGCCCAGTATTGATATTGCAAAATTGTAATGCTTTTCTCAGAACTGCTGAAAATGTATACCTTGTTAACAAGTCCCCATTTGAATGAAGGAGAAGTTGAAGGGTTGATTCCATTGCTGGTCGCAGATTAAGATAATTTTGCATAGCCTATAAAGGACAAACGTTAGGTTTGTTGGATTTTTTTGTGAATGTCTCCCCTTTAATCCGTCTTTGATTCCCTAATAGTCAATTCCAACATGTCACCATTAACAGTCAAAGCAATATCCCCAAATTGTAGAGCTCTCGCATTTGGAGTATTCCCGCTTGAAACTGTGAACTCCCCTACCCGCAGAAAACCGAAGAATGCTTATGTGAAAGCAGCATTAAACAGAACAGCCTCATAATTGAAGGTACACACTGAACCAAGCGAGTCTACTAGTCTGGTCAGTAAGGAGCTTGTAATTGTAGGTACACACTGAACCAAGCGCGTCTACTAGTCTGGTTAGTAAGGAGCTTGTAATTGTAGGTACACACTGAACCAAGCGAGTCTACTAGTCTGGTCAGTAAGGAGCTTGTAATTGGAGGTACACACTGAACCAAGCAAGTTTACTAGTCTGGTCAGTAAGGAGCCTGTAATTGGAGGTACACACTGAACCAAGCGAGTCTACTAGTCTGGTCAGTAAGGAGCTTGTAATTGTAGGTACACACTGAACCAAGCGAGTCTACTAATCTGGTCAGTAAGGAGCCTGTAATTGGGGCAGGAATGTCTGCCTTTTTACCTCCCCTGCATGCACCCTCTAATATTTTTTGAGACAACGAAATGTTTTGTGGACTGGCTGTAGGAGTGCCTCGGGACCTAGGCGCCTGAATTTGTCCCACTGTTGACGAGAAATGGCATCAGCAATTGTATTCAAGTACCCTGGTATATGTTCTGCTTTTAATATTATGTTAACTTTTAAACAACTGACCACAATTAGACGGACTAACACCTTGACTAAAGGGTCTTTTGCTGACTGTTTGTTAATTACTGATACTACAGACCTGTTGCCAATATGTAACTACACCTTCTTATTTTCTAGCTCGTCCCCACAAATAGCCAGAACTGTTCTAACCGGAAACAATTCCAAAAAAGGTTATGTTCCTTTTAATTGGGGTTCCATTCCATTGGCCAAAAGCCCATCGGCTTTTGAAATAAATACCGAAACCTTTGTTACTTCCGCCTGCACTGTCTGTGAAACATCCTAGAATGTCATTTGTTGTCAGAACCTCTCTGGCATCACTGTCACCCCATTATAAACAGCAAGAAAGTCCAGCCAGGCTTGAAGGTCTGCCTTCATTTCGCTAGTCATCCTTATTCTATGGTGAGGTTTTTTAATACCCCTCGTGGCATCAAAAAGCCTTCTACAGAAAGTGTGGCCTGGCCTAACAACCCTACAAGGTGAAGGGAACCAATCGATGAATGGAGTTTTTCTAGGGTGATTTTTGTCAGTGACAAAGTGTGCTCCCTAAGTTGAATGAACTTATCTGTAGGAAGTCTGAGTATTATGTTAATGGTATCGAATCCCCATGTTCATATCCATTTTCTCTAGCAACGCCCCCTCGCCTAAAGATTAAACTAAGTCTACAGCATCATCTACACTTGAGGATTCAACTGAACAGACATTTTCATTAATAACGTCATTAACCGATCCATCCTCCGAGTAAGAGAGATGATGTATCATTCTAAAATCTCCATCCTTTTTGGGGACCAACCCCAAGAGGGAAATACGAAGGGTAGGTAAAGGGGGACAACTAAAGGGGCCACAGATTCTCCCAGCCAATAGAGATTCTTTTTGTATTTTTCTTCGAATAGTTTCCAAATTATTTAAATTTAAATTCTTTGCAAAAGTTGTTAATCGAGGACCACTATCTTTTAGGGGGAAACCTGACTTAAAACCATCGAACAACTCTCGTGCCACATTACGCTGAGGATAATTTAACAGTTATCTAGTCAACTGAACCACATTGGTTGGGGATCTCCCTAATGAGTATAACGAAGCCGTGCTTGTACTGATTAACAGAAGTCCCTGTTGACTTGCATTTGCATTGGGTTTGGGCGTGCTGACCCCCCCCCCCCCC